AATAAGTGGTAGAACATCTGCCTAGCAAGCACAAGACCATAATTATGTACTGCCCAACAATGCATTAAGACAGAAAATAAGTATTAATGAATTTAATGTTTGAAGGCATATCAAGTGTTTTTCCAAAACATAATAATATAAAGCTAGAAATTAACAAAATGAAGAGCTTTAGAAATCTTTCAAATATGTAGAAATTAAACAGCATGCACCTGAATAACCCAGAAGACAAAGAACAAATTAAAGGAGGAATTTAAAAATAACTGGTGATAAATGAAAATGAAAACACAACATACCAAAACCTAGAGTGTTCAGTAAAGGCAGTTCTAAGAGAGAAGTTTATATGAATAAATATCTACATCAAAAGGGGACTGAAGTTGTAGCTCAAGTAGAAGAGCTCTTACCTAACAAGGGAGAATTCTTGAGTTTAAGCCCCAATACTGAACCCCCCCAAAAAAATATCCAAACATGAAAAGCCAGGTGTAGTGCTATAAGCCTGGAATTCTACTACTCTGGAAACTGAGGTAGGAGTGTCAGAAGTTTAAGGCCTGTCTGGCTACATGAAGAGTTCTAGATCATCCTGGGCAACATAGTATCTCACCAAAAGAAGAAAGGATCTCAAATATTATGCCTCAAGAAGCTAGAAAAATAATAAAATAAGCCAAACTTCAGTAGAAGGAAGGACATAATAAAGGTCTAATAAACCAATGTAAGAGACTAGAAATAATAAGTAGGTTTTTTGAAAAAGGCAAACAAAATCAATACATTTTAGCTAGACTAGGAAAAAAAAACAGAGAAGACTCAAATGAGAAGTAAAAGAGAAGACACTATACACTATAATTGATACTACAGAAATCAAAGAATCATAAGCACTACCATGAAAAGTTATATGTCAACACATTGGATTACTTAGAAAAAAACTAACAAATTCTTAAGATTCTACTCACTGATTCATGAAGAAATAAAAAATCTGAACAAATAATGAGTAAGATGATCAAACAATTTCCTGACATCTTAGGATCTCCTGGCTTTGCTACTAAATTCTATGAAATATTTAAAGAAATAACACCAACCTCTTTCAAATTGTTCCAAAAATGAAGAGATGGAACACTTCCAAACTTATTTTACAAGGTCAGCATTACCAAGATCAAAGCCAGATAAACAACATTACAAGAAAATAAAATTACAGACCAATAACTCTGATCAACATAATACAGGCACATGTCTAGCTACTCAGAAGGCTAAGATTTGAGGGTCAAGGTTTGAAGCCAGCCTAGGCAGGAAAATTCATGAGTCTCTTATCTCCAATTAAACATCACCAAAACGCCGAAAGCAGAGCTGTGGCTAAAGTGGTAGAGCACTAGCCTTGAGCAAAGAAACTCAGAGACAGTGCCCAGGCCCTGAGTACAAGTTCCAAGACTGATATTAAAAAAAAATCAACAAAATACTAAAAAAAAAATTCAAAAGCACATCAACAGATCACTTATCTTGATGAAGTGGGATTTATCCCAGGGATGCAGAGATGGTTTAACTAATATGCCAATCCACAAATGTAATGTGTCAAACAGAATGAAGGGTAAAAACCATAACATTTTAGTTACAAAAAATATTCACAAACATTCAATATTCTTTCATGACAAAAACGTTCAACAAATTAAATATAGAAGAAATGCATATCAACACAACAAAGGACAAGGATGACAAGCTATTTTCTGTTACCCATAACAAAAGCTGAGGTTAGTACTTAAGAAAGTAAAGAAATTTATTTGGCTCACAATTCTGAAGGTGTAAGAGCTCTGATGAGGACTTTATGGGAAATGTTAACATAGTGGAAGCATATGTAAGAGAATGATACCACATGCAAGACAAGAAGCCTTACAGCTATTGGGGTCCCAGGAAAACTACATTAATCTCCTTCAAGGGCATATCCGTAACGACTCAATGACCTCTCACTAGACCCCATCCCAAAGGTTCCACGATTTATTGTTTTTTTAATTATTTTTATTGTTATAAAGGTGATATGCAGAGGGGTTATAGTTATAAGTCAAATAAAGAGTACATTTGTTTTTGGACAATGTCATCTCTTCCCTTACTCTCTCTGTTTTCCCTCCTGTCCCCCTGTATAGTTCATTTTCAACATAGTGTTCATTAAGTACCATTGATGGCATTTGTTCACCTTTTGTCCCTCCATTTCTGTGGCTCCTCCTTACACTCCCAAAGACACATGCACGAATAAACAGAACAAGAAAAAAGGAAAAGAAAAGAAAACAGCAAAAAAGAAATAAATCCTCATTTCCATTCCCTGGAGTTAATTTCGATAAACATTATTTTATATGATCAGAGGCACGTAGGCATTGCACCTTTGTGATCCTCTCCTAATAATATCCTCCTTTAGTCTCATTATATATGAGTGCCTAAAGAACTGTATAATTTCTTATGTCCCAATATTTTGGATCTAGCTTCCCCATATTAGAGAATATATGTGCTGTTTGTCTCTCTGAGCTTGGTTTACCTCACTTAACAAAGTCCATTCATTTCCTTGCAAATAACATATTATTCTTTCTAATGGCCATGTAAAATTCCATTGTATATGGTACCACATTTTTGATCCACACATCTATTGCAGGGCATCTGGTTGTTTCCACAACTTGGCTGTTGTGAATGGTGCAGCAATGAACATGGATGTGCAAGTGTCTTTATGGTATCCTGGTTTGTGATGTTCTGGGTAGATAACCAAGAGTTGTATGGCTGGGTCCTAGGGAAGATCGATGTTTAGTTTTTTGAGAAATCTCCAGACTGCTGTTGAGAGTGTACATTTCCCGCAACGGTGCAACAGGGTTCCTTCATCCCCACATCCATGCCAACATTGTGAATTCGAACAACAACAAATATGTTGGCCAACCTAACTGGGGAGAGATGGCATCTCAGATTTGTTTTCATTTGCTTTTCCTTTATAACCAGGGATGATGAGCATTTCCTCATACACACACACACACACACACACACACACACACACACACATACATACATACATATATAAATTGCCATTCTAACCTCTTCTTCTGAGAATTCTCTTCTTAACTCCTTTTCCCATTAGTATTTGGTTTATTAGCTTTGGGAGGTGTTAGTTTCTTAAGCCCCTGTGTATTTTGGATATGAGGCCTTTGTGGGATGTATTGCTGGTAAAAATCTTCTCCCAGTGTGTTTGATGCCTTTCTAGTTTAAAAACAATGATCTTTGTTGTACAGAAACTTTCTATTTTTCTGTAATCCCATTTGTCAAGTCTCTCTTATCTGTTGGGCCCCTGGGACTCTTCAAAAAGTTTCTCCCTATGTCTATCAATTCTAGTGTTTTTCCTATTCCCTCTTGCAGTAATTTCAAAGTTATGGGTCTGAGACTGAGGTCTTTGATCCACTTTAAGTTGATATTTATGCATTGTGACAACCGGGGATCAACTTTTAGTTTTCTGCATATGGATGCTCAGTTTTCCCAACACTGATTATTGAAGAGGCTATCTGTTTTCCACTGTGTGTCTTCGGTTCCCTTATCAAATATCAGATAACTGTAAGTATATAGTTTTATTTTCAGGTCTTCTAGTCTGTTCTATTGATCTTTGGATCTATTTTTGTTGCCAATAGCAAGCTGCTTTTTGTTATTATAGCTCTATAGAAGAGCTTGAAGTCTGGGAATTGGTTTCCCCATTTCTTAACATTGCCATGCTAGGATCATATCTTCCAGTAAATGATCCATTAGGGCATAAACCACATCCACTAGAGCAATACCCAACAGTGAAAAGTGGAAAGCTTTCCCTCTAATGTTCTATTCAACATTGTACTGGGAGTCCTAGCCAGAGCAATTAGGCATGAAAAAGGCAAACAAGTTGGAAAGGAAGAAGTTAAACTGTTTGTTAGCAGATGACATAAAATGGTAACAGTTAACTGGGGGAGAAATAGAAAGCTTAAGCTGCTGTATTATAATATAAAATAATTTTATTTAATATTATATTAAAGAAATAATAATAGGGAATCTATTTTTGCCACTTCTGCTAGCAAAAATGTTTAAGTTTGAAGTTCTTTCATTATTAAATGTATGAGATCAAATAAAACAAACACCCAGGAATCTCTAATGCAAAATTGAAGATGGACATGACAGGACTATTGATCTCAGTTCCAGAGCTGGCTCCAAGTCACTATTTCTTAATTGTTTTACAGGTCTGTCTTACTATTTTCACTGAGAATAAGTTACATATTTCTTTCAGAATGAATAACAGAACCTCATAAACATAGTAACTGTTCATAATAGATGCTTAGTTTGATTGGTGTAAGTTCTGTTTGGATGTATTAATTCAAGCTTCTCTACTTCCTTCATAAGTGACAACCAGTCTGGAATTCAAACTACTTCAACTACCTTGAGGGCTGAAAGCATTAATATCGGAGCACAGGCATATCTGTAACTAAGAATCCATTTGCGTGTGCAGACACACTAGCTAGGAAATTTGATGGGAAGATACTGTACTTTGTGGAGAAAAAAATCCATTTTAGACCAAATATTTTATCAATAGCCTTGAAAATAAGTGCAAAGGTATGCTGAAGACCTTCATTTCCTGAGAATGTTTACTATATATTTCAGTGCTGGGAATGGACTCAGACATTCTAGGCAACTGTTCTACAATCCCAACCTTCTCAGGGAAGTTCTTCATTGACACTAGTTTTCATTATAATCTCCCCTCCCAACAGAAAACAGAGAAAAATACACAGTGACAAGGCCTTTCACCAATTCTTATCCCGTATTAGATTCCCTAGATAGGTATGCACTTTTACATAAAATTCCACGGGATTTTTTACATTATTATATCATTTTATTTGAGAAAAATGTAAAATAACATTCAGTTCTATTGCCTTTAAAATGTGGGGATTTTTTTTACTGTGGATAATTTATTCTTTGAGGACTTTTTAGTCTTTTGCATTAACACTAACACATCACTTATTAAAAAACATATATACCTTTGTCAGAGTTGTTCTCTAGAATTGCAATCTTGAATACATAAAACTGAGTGAAAATGTTTGTAGGATCCAATCGTTCAGCCTCTAATACTGCCAGTTTAGCCTGGAAAACAAAACATTGGGTCTACTTTAGAAAAACTATAAAGAAGTTCTTACCATATTTTACTAAGGTCATTAAAATATTCAGAATGGTTAAGAGATACACCAAATGAAAACACAAGACCTTTAATGTTCTGTCCTTAATGTACTTTTCTGTTAAATGACAAAGAAATAGTGAGTTCTGCTTCTGGAAGTAGAGTGAGCTAGCCAGGTTTGAATAGCCTATTTCTGATCTAGACATAAAAGAATGAATGACACAAGTAAAAGGTGTGAATATGATCAAAGTCCTTCATATGCACATATGAAAATAGAATAATGAAACCTATTTACAATGTTTTTTTAAAGGGGGAGATAAAGTAATAGAGGAAGTGAATTCAATCAAATACATTTTATGCATATATGGAAACATCACAATAAAACTTTTTGGTTCAATATAAACTAATAAAAAAAGAGAGAAGCGGGAGAGAGAAAGAGAGAGCGAGAGAGCGAAAGAGAGAGAGAGAGAGAGAGAGAGAGAGGGAGAGTGTTCCTCCTTTTGGAAATAATCAAAAACTCTGGAAAAACTCTTTTCTCAGAAAAACAGTAATTGAGAAGAATTACCAAGCCAAACTAAGGCAAAGTGAGGTCTCAGAGAAGCAAGTAGCTACTTTTTATCTGGTGGGTGACTGAAAATCCAGGCAAATGTGAATTGTTGGTTTGACAAACCTTATTAAGTAAATATATATTTATATACATACATACATACATACGCCCCATGGGATCACATTGTTTGATTACAGCTAAATCAAAAGTAAACCTGCTCTGACCAAGGAGATTTTTAAAAAGCTACCTTGATACTAATTGAAAACAGCACAGGAGGTAAGGGAAAAATAATCCCTGAAGTATAACACATTTATTTACAGACACAAATTACTATATGTATGAAGGGGGGATTTCAAAAGCCTTAGTGCTGTGGATTTTTTCCACATAGAAGCAAAGAGATATCCGTTTGGGGTGAAGACATCTTCATGTTAGGCTCTAAAATATTTCATTAAATAATTTTTCAAGAATGATGAGTTGTATACATTAAAAAAATAACACAAGCACCCTTTGAGAAAGAATTGTCAGAAATAAGAAATATCAGAAACAGATCCTCAAGATACAACTGTGGGAATAAAAATATTTATAAGCTGGACTCCAGTGGCTCATGCCTGTAATCCTACACACTCAGGAGACTGAGATCTGAGGATCCAGTTTGAAGCCAGCCTTGGTAGAAAAGTACATGAGTCTCTTATCTCCAATTAAACACCAAAAAAGTACAAGTGGCGCTGTGGCTCAAGTAGCAGAGTGCTAGCCTTGAGCACAAATGTAAAAGGGCAGCAACCAGGCCCTGAGTTCAAGTACCAGGACCAGCACACAAAACGATATTGATGAAACACCCATGCTTTCAAAGTTTAAAGAAATAAAAGATACTTAAAAATCAAGTAGGTAAGTTTGATTCACAGGGGAACATACTGATTCATTTATTGTGATGCTTCCAGTTGCTAGCCTTTCTGAGTTCTAGCCCCAGTAACAGCACATACACAAAAGTTGTTGCCCCTCATTCCAACACTGTATTACAGATATGCTTTAACAAGAGCAGAACAAAGAACAATTGCTACTTTACTCCTACATATTCTATAGTCAACCATCAGTATCTGTAGGATACTGGTTTCAGAGTCCTACCTCTGGGCAGATACCAAATCTATAGATGCTCAATTCCTTTATTTGCATATAATCTACACACAGTCACCTATATACTCAAATTACCTCTAGATTATTTATAATACCTAATACAATGTAAATGCTGTATAAATAGTTATTGTATTGTAGGGAAAGTAATGACAAGAAAAACAACTGTATGATCAGCTACGCATTTCAAATCCATAGTTGGTTGTATCCACAGATGAGGAATCCATGGATATGGATGTCCAACTGTATTTCTATTGATTCAATCTAATTTGAGTGAACTTAGTATTATTAGCTTTTATTGAGCTCAGAGTCAACAAGAAGCCCCAAGTCTTTCTCATGTGCTTCTGTTAAACTATATTGCATCCATTTTCCTCTAATACAGAATGTTTTATTGTTGCCCACTGGTCTTCATTTTGTTAGAATGAGCTCATTATTTCAGCATATTAAGGTTCCTTCAGATCTGACTTTGTCTTCTAATTTATCAGTTACTCTTTTCAGCTTCAGATCACATGTACCTTCCAACAATATTTACAAATACACCTTACTTTCATATTCCACATGGTATAGATCACATTAAATACCTGATTGTAAGTTGTGCTTTATTACCTTCTAATTATTTTGTACATATAACTCTTGCTTCTGCATTAATACTTTAAACACAGCTATAGAAGACAGCAAGCCTTGTTACTTAAGTATTCTATAGTATGAGGCATATATTTGGCACCTAAATAATTGTTCAACTGTCTTGCAACCTCAATTAGGACTTTTTTTCTTTACCTCAAATGAGCCACAATGAACCATTTTCTTAAAGTGCTTTCTTTTATATCCACGCATCCACGCAAACAAATTTGTGGGGAAGGCATTACAAATAACTTCAAAATCAATGAGCTAATCAAGTACAAGCAGAAGCCACAGTGCCATCTAGTGAGTATCACTAGATTACATGTACTCACTTCCAATCCTAAATGGAAAAGCATGATTGCCAAACCTTTATATAGTGAATACAGCAGTATATAACCAGCACGTTACATTAGATACACATTCTATAAATAGTCTTACCTCTGTAGTTGTTGCAAATCTTATAGCCATTCTATGGTTTGAAACTGTGTTTTGGTTTTATCAATCAATTGTAGAAGTAAAATCCACATACCTAAACTTCAGTTGCAAGATGAGAATGGCATTTCTGCATCCATTCATGCATAAGCATTACTGTTAACTTACACAGATCATCACCAAAACAGTTCTTTATCCATTTGTCAATTGATAACATTAAGGTTTTATTATGATGAGCAGCAAAGTCTTACAATAACAAGCTGTATGAATTGTTTCTATATTTAAAACTTAAGCTCATTTGTTTTATTCTTAAGTTTATCTAGCCCCAAACTTGCATATATGAAACACTTAAAAATATCAAAAATAGGGGCTGGGAAGGTGGCTCAGTGGTAGAGCGCTTGCCTTGCATGCCTGCGGCCCTGGGTTCTATTCCTTAGCACCACATAAGCAGAAAAAGCCAGAAGTGGCGCTGTGGCTCAAGTGGTAGAGCGCTAGCCTTGAGCTGAAGAGCTGAGGGACAGAGCCCAGGCCCAGAGTTCAGGCTCCATGACTGGACCCCCCCAAAAAAATTATCAAAAATAATATAACAAAATTGGGATACTGGACTTAAGGTCCTATAAACTCCCCAAAGGCAGAGTCAATATCTATAAAATTACATTTGTTTTGGTACTTGATAATCAAATTTAAGGACTCACATATGCAAAGCACACACTCTATCACTGAGCTATAACCCCAGCACTCTATTGCTTAATATTGTCTCATTAAAAGCACTGAAGATACCTCAACAGATAATGGCAATTTAAACATTTGTTCTTAAATAGCTTAGGGAGCAATCCAAAGTAATTACCTATACTTAGTATTGTTATCACAAAGTGATATTACCAAATGTGTGAGCTAATGGATTTGTAACCTAATCTAACAAAAGTGTAAAAAAAAAAAAGAATGGAGAAAAAGAAAAAAAACCCAAAAGTGTAGAGGAGACTGTTCTTCAAATTCTCTGATTCACCTAAATTAATTTCTGATGTTTGATGCAGCATTTCATTTTAAGAAAAATCTAATACAATGTTTCTCCTTCCAAATAGAATGGAGTTGAGCTGCTTCAAAGGACAGACAAATTGCAGATGGAAGTACATAACTCTGTTTAACCAATCACATATTCCTTTCAGAATATAGTGTAAAAATAAATAACAGAATTAATAGTCTTTCAAATTCTCTCTTCTTTGGGGAGTTCCACTTAACTGTTTACAGTGCACAAACAAAAAAAGGTCAATTTGACCTTGTTCTGTATGAAGAACCTCTCAGACATCCGAATCAGCTAAGTCACAGCACTGTATCTATCTCTCTGTCACTGCACTGCATGTAAGAACATCTGCTGACTCTGAAAACAGATAAATCAAATGACCTTATGAAAGTCTCTTAAATTCAGGTAACAGGAAGCCACGTTCCTCTGTAGCTTGGCCACATCCAGATCCGTTTTTTGAAATCCATAAAACTTCAGAGAGTAACAGTACCAGTTTAGGGCATCAGCAAAAACTTTTACCTAAAATTTAAGAAGAAGCATCAAAATCACAGAAATATCTTTACATTTCACCCTCATTCTCCCCAATTCACTTCTACAAACAAAATATGGCATTGGTTCTATTTTTAGGCAACCAAAACAAATACCCTTTCTATTGAATTCTAAGGGTTTTATTCTCATTTTTCCTACCAATTATAAGCTTCAAGGACTAGAGATATACCTCAATGGTAGTTCACATACTTAGCATGCACAAGTCCCTAGGTTCAAAACATAACACTAAAAAGGAAACAAGAAAGATACTTTTCACACAGGATGAAGAGTTGAAGGGGGTAGTAAACCACCCCAGAAAACTCAACATTCAGTTTTAAGTCACTGAAAGTGGAAAACTGTTTGTATAGCCACCTAATAAAAAATGTAATGAATCAATAGTGACTAAAATTTTCAAAATAAACATCCATAAATCAATATAGGTATTTTAATTTTTCCATGATCCTTTTAAATTTTATCCTTTTGCATATTTACATGGTTGTCATTACTGTTTTATAGAATTTCACGTTCTATTCTTTTCATTTAATTGTATCTTGTACATGTTCTTCAGTGTTGTTATATGGTTTTCACAGTTACTAATTTTAAGCTACACATATGTTTGATCGAATTAATATATCATGATTTTCTTATTTTCATGATGTTGGACATGTACTGAATTTCCAGGTTTCCCACTATTAGTATGAATGGTGGTTTATTTTGTATGAATTTTTCAGTTCCTTTAAAATTTAAATGGTAAAAAGCTACTGGGGAAAAATAGCCAGGATATCCAGAAAAACAAAAGATGCATGTTTTCTCTCATACATGGAAGCCAGAATTAATTTAGAAATATATAAGTAAATACATTGGGTGGTATCCAAGTGTACACAAATGCATTAGCCAATATATGGTAGATTCAGGGTAGAACTTAGTGTAATTTCTTAGAAAAGCTAACTCATAGTCCAACAACAAAATAAACACCAGGAATGAGGTACTCAAAAAAGAGGTGTGTGGGGAGGGACAGAGCAATCATAAAATTCAATGCATATCCTACAAGATTAAGAAAATTGAGGGAAGGGGTACAACTGGAAAGAATGATGAAAGGGGGGACATTGATCAAGACGCATTATATTCATAAACTGCTTTGTTGAGTGGCAAGTCTTTTATACAACTACTAAGATAATAAAAATATATTCCAAAAAGAAATAGCTTGGATAATTTTTAATATAAGGAAGCTGAGCTTCATATTTTCACATTTAGAACAGGAATCAATTGGACCTTCATGAAATCAAATGTCCTTTTCAAGGTAGACAACACACTGTCTTTAACTATTTACACGTAAGATTACATTCTTCTTCAGAGTTGAATGTGAAAGTTGAAAAACTCTTTCAATAAGATTGGAAAATCAGTGGTAATAAAAAGAATTCATAGGAGGAAATGAATGCTGAAGTAATTGTTCACCTTCTCAGTATAGAAATAAAGGCCCTCTAAAAGAGAAAACAAAGAATATTATTTTATAGCAGGGGTGAGGAACACCTGGCTCAAGGGTTTTATTTGGCTTAGCCTTGCCAAGGAGCTTTTGTCATAGCAACATAAACTGACATTAAGCCAATCATACTGACAATGTATACTTTCAAGGACAAGCAAGAAACATCACATAAAACAGACAGGACACATATGACTACATGAAAGGACAGGCATTATACTTCTCATAGGCTGCCAATGACACATCACTTGTATTGTGGGGAGTCAGAGGATAGTCAGTGTTCCAAGTAGAACAGGAGTATACATATTATAGAAGTGTTAACACACTGCAGCAAAACTATAGTGATGCAGTAATGATGAGATGAGATGGTTTGAGACCTTGCCTTTGATGACTGATGATATTGTCAACTTGCTTGCCAATACAGATGATAACACCAATCCGACCTTTATCCACATGTCCAAGATCAACAATCCTTGCAGAAAGTGAAGCTCAGATGAAGATTAAGGAAATTATAGTACATAGAGATCTCACCAGTCGATGGATATTAAATATGTTTCAAATCCAATATGTAAGATTAGAACAGTGGAAAGTAATCAAGTCACTGATAGCATACACTGGATAGCTATTAACACTTAAGTGGTGTGCCATCATACAAATAACATTAAAAAAGATTGATGCAGAGTGCTGATCTTTCAAAGACAAAAGGGACAAATTATTATTTTGTTGTTGAAGTCAAAGGCAAACCTGTGTGCTTAAGTTTTTGGTGATATGTTAATTAATTTTTTAAAAGCCAATCTGAAGTGACATTACAGGTCAAAACATGTAAAACTCAATGAATTGGGAAGCCAAACTATCAGGATAAAATCAGTGTTCAAAGCTTTGTGATTCTAAAGCTGAGTTCAGAATCACAAGAAGCCACTTTCCCTAGGCCTCCCTGTGACAGACTCAATGTCATTCAGATGATTTAAGTAGCTGAGGTTTCACATAGAGGCAGAGTTTGTGAAAGAGTTCATTGAAAGATTCTACAGGTTATTCCCAATTTTTCTCCCTGACTTGTGATGAAACAATGGACATAACCAACCAGTATGGTCCAACTGGCTGTTTTCAACCAATATAGTCCAACCAGCTGTTTTCAATCATGGGACTTTGATGCCCATGCCTACCACTACAAGAAGTGGGGATTTGTTTGAGAGATGTTTCATCAGTGAAAAGACTTAATCTGGGCACTGGTGGCTCATGCTTTTCAAATCCTAGCTACTCAGGACACTGAGATATGAAGGCAGAGGTTCATAGCCAACCTGCCCAGACAAATTGTAGAGACTATTGTCTCCAATTAACCAGCAAAATGTTGAAAGTGGAATCATGTCGAGCCTTGAACAAAAAAAGCCAAAAAAGGTAAAGGACCTACGTGCAAGCCAGGTATCAGAAAAAAAAATCTAGCTCACAAAAAGGGTTAACTTCCTTTGTCAAGAAAGAACTGAATAATCTCAATTCTGATCCAAGTGACTTAATTATAGCCACGCATTTTATACCAAGAAAGTCTGTACACAGTAGTTGAAGCTAAAACTGTGATGTCAATAGTAGTGTTATATATAAATTTTTTTCAAAGTAGAGGGTTTAATAGCTGCCTGTTTAAAGAGTTACTGAGGGAGCTTGAGTCTTGAATTCATTGATCTTGTATGTCACTGTGAAGTACAGTGATTGAGTCACAGAAACAATGCTCATGAGGTTTTACAAACTGTGGATGATGTCAGTGGATGGACTCAATGATATGGAGAGCATTACAAAGTTGCCTCCTGGATCTGAATATCAAGCTGCACCAAGCAGTTTCTCATTTCCATGAATAAAACTCTATTAATGAATATAGTTTCAATGTTGGTGATTAAACATAATTCTTTCCCATGGATCCACATTTCCATTTGGTATCAGTTGTACTCTAGGTAGGTCATGTAAGTGGAACAACACTGTATCTGTCTTTTTGTGACTGGCTCATTATTATTCTTTCTAATATTTTTAAATAGTTGCTCCTGGATTTAGGTAACTACATTCCATGTGTGTTTGACAGTACTCTACTGAACACTAGAAGAGGACCTTCTGAAATCTGGGGCTCCATTTCTCCATGCTATGCACTCTCCTGTAGAACTCTGTCCTATGAACTCTAGGTCTTGGTGCCTTCAGGCTCTCAGCTCCATCTACTCAAATCAGGATGCCTGATGGGCTGCAGTTTAGTCTCCCGCCCCAGCCATCTATAGGCTGAAAATTCATGACAGTAAGCCATGCAATTGTAGTGCTCAACTTATTGCTAATCTCCTAGGGATCATTCTTTATTGCCTGATGACCAGTGTTATCAGAACTACTTTTTCATGTAATCTGTCTTGTATTTTTGGGAAGAGGGTTGGCTCAAGCAGGGACAAAAAACTGATCCTCATTATTATATGTTAATTGGAAATACAAGTATAACATCACTTTATAAAAAGTATATCTCCCTTGATGTGGAGCTGAGGTTCAAGTGATGAATACCAGGCTTAAGCAAAAAGCTAAATAACAGTGCCCAGGCCCTGAGTTCAAACTTCAATATCAACACAAAAAATGAAAATTGAAAAGTATATCCCATTTTATGTTTTTGCACAGACATAAAAAAATTAGAGAAAATGTAGCAAAATTTTAAGAATGACCCAATTGTGATTGTTCTGTGCTTTAAAAAATACTCTTTAGGTTCACATTATTCTGAAAGAAAACTAATAAAGTTTTTGTTCACATCTTTACAGTATACCATGACTTTTTCTGTGTGTGTGCCAACAGAACTCCGTGCCTGGGCAATGTCCCTTAGGTTTTTTTTTTTTCTCAAGTCTGGCAGTCTACCACTTGCACCACAGCTCTGGTTCTGGCTTTTTGCTGATGAAGTCTCATGAAGTTTCCTGCTCAAGCTGGCTTTGAACTGTGATCCTTAGATTTTAGCCTCCTGAGTAGGTAGAATTATGGATATGAGCTACCAGTACCCAGTTTATACTATTACTCTGTGGTGTGTGTGCATGAGAGAGGGGGGGAGGGGAGAGAGAGAGAGAGAGAGAGAGAGAGAGAGAGAGAATGTTGGGTGCTATTCCTGAGCTCTTTTTTCTCAAGGCTAGCACTCTACCACTGAGCCACAGCTCCACTTCAGAGTTATTTTTTGGCGGTTAATTGAAGGTAAAAGTTTCATGGACAGGTTGTGCAAGCTGGCTTTAAGCCATGATCCTCAGATCTCAGCATCCTGAATAGGATTACAAGCATGAGCCACCAGCACCTGGCTATACTGACTTTTAAAAGGGAATAAAACCTCTTTGACTTTCTATATCCTTATGTTAAAACTAAATTACATTCCAGTATCTTAATATCAGTGATGTTATTTCCCTATAAAGTTCTCAACAGGGAGAAATCCTATCTATACTATTTTAAGACATTTTTATAATATCCATTAACACTAAACTGTAACTGCAAGGAATTTGATTATTTTGTTTATGGTGCTGGGGATGGGAACCCAAAGCTTTGCACATCCTAGGCAAAGTACTCTACCACTTGTGCTCTATAATTTTTATATTGAAAACTGCTTTGTTTCTGGCAGAAAAGAAAGAATACACAGATGAAAACAGATTATTCCCAAACCTCAAAACTTCGGGCAGCTTTTCTCCACAGAATGTTGTGTAACCAGCCTAGTAATTCTGTTTTCAGTGGTCTTCCCATTTGGTAACCTGAAGGAAAAAAAGTCCAAAGCTCTGCAAACAAGATTCTAGATCGATTATATTTGAGTGCTATCTATATTCATGCTACATTTAATCTTATAACTATACTTAATCTTTAAGTAATGGCTATATAAATAATCACATTCAGACAGGTTTTCATCATCAATTGTAAGTTTACCACCAAAATTGATTACATAATATAATCAGTGTTCACTAGGTCTTGGTAATTCTCCCATCAGTCTGTGATAGATTTCCAGCCTTGTCTCATTTTAACTTATTTTCCATGTTCTAAATTAGATAATCATCTGATGCTGTAATACAGTTATTTTGAATGAGCAGACAGCAATGCCGGAGATCATTAATAAAAACTGCTTATACTATTATGTACTAAGTAGATCAGCTCAAGTTCACAAGAAAGGCCAATTATACCTTAAAGCCTCTGGAAAATACTTTTCGAGCACGCTTACGGATAAACTTTATTAGATTAAGTCACAACTTATGTCTGATTATTTGTGGTCTAGACATTTACAGTGTAACAATACATTAGCACATTAAGGTAAAATTTAAACTATAATAGAATTCTATACTCCCTTCTCTTTTGCCCCTTTGGCACAAACCATCAATTTCCACAAGTCTTGATTAGAACTGTAAAAAGCTCTAATCCCTTGGCAGAGTCAGAAACCATAGATTGTTCTATGACTTAGTTAAAGATACTCAATTGAGAGTGAACAGTTGCTCAAGGTATCTACTTAAAATATTATGACACATTGATAATATAAATGTGTAATTAGATATAACAATAAAACTTTGTCTAACTAGGATTTTAGGAAAAACATTTTGTAAAAAAAAGTTTTCTAGTTAGCTGTTAGTTTACTTTCCTAAATATAAATATTTTTCATTTAAAAAGTCTAAATTGGGATACAAGGACACATGCACCTCCATGTTTATTGCAGCACTGTTCACAATACCCAGGATATAGAAACAACCCAGATGCCCCACCACAGATGAATGGATCAAAAATTTGTGGTATCTATACACAATGGAATATTATGCAGCCATTAGAAACAACAAAATAATGGCATTTGCAGAGAAATGGATGGAACTAGAAGAAATCATGTTGAGCAAGGTAAGCCAAGAGCAAAGAGACAAACATCACATGGCCTCCCTGATAAGTGGATGTTAAATCCAAAGTGTAAGGTGATACGACAAAGTTAACAAGACTTGAGAAACAAAGGACCTCCACTCATCTGGTCGAATCACCACTAAATAACTCCATGATGCTCATCATCCATATGGTACATATGTGCACACCAGAAGGAAACTAAGAGGAGGACACAGAACTAGAGGGAATCAGGGGAAAACATACAACAGTGGGACCCATCAGCTGCACTGGACATTGATCAAAACAAACCAAGCAACTCAATGGCAGCGATGGGAGGGAGGGAATGAGTGGGAAAGAGGGGACAGCTGACACTATGCAAAAGGAAAGGGATGTACACATCACCCAATGTGGAAGAAATAACTGTATTGTCAAAGCTCATATAACTCATAAACTTTATACACCACAATAGACAATTTGCCCCATGAAAGTTAGAATGTGTTTGTGACTTTAACTAAGCATCACTATCCCACAATACTGTAAAATTTGTGAAATTATGTAATCACTTAATCACAATAAAGAATTTGCAAAAAAAAGTCTAAATCATTTAATTAAATATACTCCTTACTTTGAGAGAGAGAGAGAGAGAGAGAATGTGTGTGTGTGTGTGTGTGTGTGTGTGTGTGTGTGTGTGTGTGTGTGTGTGTGCGTGTGCAGTTCCTGTGGCTTGAACGCAGGGCTTGGGCATGTCTCTAAGCTTTTGTGCGCAAGGCTAGCACTCTACCACTGGAGCCACATCAACAGTTGCAGCTTTTTGCTGGTTAATTGGTGAAAAGAGTCTCATAGACTTTCTTGCACAGGCTGGATACAAACCGCAATCCTCAGATCTCAGCCTCCTGAGCAACTAGGATTATAGGTGGGAACCACTGGCACCTGGTTCTCCCTAGTGTTCTTAAGCACAATTTAGCTTTTTTTTTTGTCAGTCATGGGGCTTGAACTCTGGGTCTGGACCTTATCCCTGAGCTCTTAAAGCTCAAGGCTGGCACTCTACCATTTGAGCCACAGTGCCATTTCCAGTTTTCTGTTGGTTAACTGGAGATGTGTCTCATGGCCCTTCCTGCCTAAGCTGGCTCTGACCTGCAATCCTCAGATCTCAGCCTCCTGAGACGGTAGGATTACAGGTGTGAGCCACCGGGGACAGGCACCATTTCTTGACTGTTTAGGATCAACAACATTAACAATTGCTGTAATTTCATTGTCCCAATAATCTATAACAGTAAACTGGGCTCTTGTAGTTCCAACATCTAGGAAGCTGAAGCAGGATTATATGAGCCTAGGCATCTGAGACTAGCCCAGATCTCTCTTGTCTTTTGTCTTCTGTCTCCTCTGTCTCTGTCTCCTCTTTGTGTCTCTGTCTCTGTCTGTCTGTCTCTCCTCTCTCTCTGTCTCTGTCTCTCTCTCTCTCTTTCACACACATACACACACGCTGCTTGGGGGCCTCATGCTCTCTCTTGCCTTTTTTAACTCAAGACTGACTACTGGTTGAGTCACACTTCCACTCTACTTTGTCTCTTACAGATAGGTATATACAGTAATGTTTGTCGAAATTAGAGTAAAAAGTTATATATTTTAAAAAATATTGGAATCTATTTTTAAAGTATTGTAGGGCTATGTACAGTGCTTGCCAAGTATACAAAATATTGTACCTTATGATCAGATTATCTATATATTTCCCTGATGATTTTTTATCTAGTTCTAACAAGCTATCACTAACATTTTGAGTTTTTGGAAAACCAGATAACTAAGCTTATCAAAAGTGGATCTAAAACACTGAATTCTTAGTGAAGATCTGGAGAGAGGGTGCCATCAATAAAATTATGTCTTATGGAATCTAAGTTCAAAAGGCTCTGAGCATCAACTAGTCAGATGATTTCCTTTGAATAACTCAATGAGTGTATATGAAGCATACTTACAAAAATTCAAGCAATATGGTAAAGTACAAAGATGAGAGCAGCATGTTACCTAAAATGCTCCATTCCCAATAATCATTAGCACCAACCATTAATGATTGTCGTTCCAGTCTCTTCATGTATAAAGTTGGAAGGGTGAAGTAGGAGAAAGAATTTTCTAATACAAGGATCATATTAACTGTGTTCTTTAGGGTATGAAGACTCTGAAGAGAGGTGGAAGGTTAAGGGAATGTTGAACAGATTTGGTTCTATATCTCTTCTTACCCAGAGAGAGAGTAGAGTTTGTGTAGCATTGCAACTTAAGTCAAGATATTTACTTGCCCAGCGCACAGAGCTAATTTAAGGTCAAACTGGAAACATGAAATTAGGCTTGTAACCTCACAATTTTTTACTACAGATAAGATTTTAGCACAGATATTTGTCTATGTATGAACATATTTTATCAATTTTTCTTAGTTTCTCATTCTGTTGTACCAAGTTTGTAAAATTAGGGCAAGTGAGGTATTACTAGGGAATAAAAAAAGAAGTGTGAGAAACCTGTTGATTTGCAGAGTTCATTATTGCTCAGACATTTAGAATTATATGCAGACTGAAATATTTTTAAAACATTTACAGAAATCTTACTAACCTTGAATGATTTCTTCAATCTTTTCCCTGGCAAGAAGATCTTCCTTTCTTTGTAAAAGCATGTCAATGTGGAACAATTTCGCTTTCCCAACATGTTCTGATGACTTGAAATGGTCACAGATTTTCTTCAGGAAAACAAATCCAACAGATTCTCTGCTCAAAGAGATACAATTTTAGATACAAATTTAGATAAAAGAACTCATTTCTGGTCAATGGGACTAAAATTTATTCGAGTGTGAGCAAAGCAATCTAGATAAAAGTATATCTAACATAGGGGTCCATTCTATACTATTTTTGTAGAGGGAGCCAGCAAAAGCAGTCTCTGGAACTGAATTATTTACACATCTGTGTGTCACGACCCTAGGAAAAGAAAGGCAAGTACAGAACTGTCTATATCAAAAGAATTCATTATCCAAAAATATACTAGCTTTTTTCAGTTAGTAAATAAACATAGTACCGGCATAAATGTAAAACAAACAAACAAAAACAAACAGCTTTTAAGAGAGAAATCCTTCAATAATGGTCTAGAATATTTTAAGTATATCTGAGTTTAGATAATGACACTAAATGTCTAAGTAAGCCTATTTATTAACAGTAAATAATTGAATTTAACTTAATTTCTGTTTAATTAAGCTATACACATTAGATTTTTATGAAAACTTATAGTCTTTCTGATATACCTAGTCTACAAGTTTAGGACTTTTCTGAACTCCCATACCAAACTCTCATTTACACTATTTTCCATATGCTGTCTTGTATTGTTTCCTTTACACATACTCTTTTCAGCAAAACTTTTAATTTTTTTTTTTGGTTGGTCGTGGGGCTTGAACTCTGGGCCTGGGCACTAACCCTCAGCTCTTCAGCTCAAGGCTAGTGCTCTACCACTTGAGCCACAGCGCCACTTCAGCAAAACTTTTAAGTTCCCTGAAAGCAATGACTACATTGTCCACATGCTGCCCTTGGCATAAAAGCTAAATTACTTGATTAGACTAAGTGACTGGCCCAAACTGATCTTGTGCTCACTCTGATATTTTTGCCAGGAAGTCCAACACAAATTGTATTCATTTCTAAGTTCTTATCTCTTCCATAAAGTATTCTCTGATCAATACAGCTCACAGCTGATTCTTACATGCTCATATATTATTTACAATTTTCCATGTTCTGTATTTTATTGTCAGTTGAATGATCAAACACATATGTGCTTAACTTACTACAACAGACTATACATTCACCAAAGGAATGTTTGTTTTTCATGTTTCTTATTATGTATAATCAGACCCTAAACAACATGCAATAATCACAAGTTTTGTTGAAAGAATAAATTTCAGTACCAACATGCTAATAAGGAAAACAGTTAAGTCTCCAAGAACAATAAATTCCACCTCCTTTTCTCACGTCAAACTCTCTAAAAATAAACCTCCCAGGAGAAAAAAAAGCACCTTATCACAACAAAATATACTGAAAATACAAGACCTTAGTATATTTTCTCTGCCATCTTCATTTCCTACATGCTGAGACTATGAGTCTTAACAGTACATTCATTGAAAAATTCATTACAACAAACATTTGGATGTCTTACAAAGTACATTATGTGGACATTTGAAGGAAACAGGAAAGGTGATGGAATATCTAGTGCTTAACTCTTACAAATGGTTTAGATATGTGGGACTTTCTCTATGAACATAATTAACTAAAATCCCATGGGCTGGTGAATATTCATTTTTATTTTTAGTGGCCAATGACAAACTATTAGTTCTATTCCAGGAAGGAATTACTATTGAATTCGTTCCTTATTATTGTACCTGTATCATTTTCTATGGAGTTGCTTTACTATTTCTGTAACTCACTTCAAGTACTTGCTATTAAATTCCAGAAGAATATATATCATTTATACATATAATTTTACATTATTGTTGTATTCTAAAACTATTAATTTACCAAATCTTAGGGCCAAACATTTTGGAGACAAGCAATTACTATTTTTACAGTATTAAGTGTATTGAAAAATATTAAGCATATCAAATTTTCTTTCAGAAGTTCATTTAATATGCAGAATCTGTAATGCTCAGAAATATTTTATTGTAATACCCAAGAGATTATTCACAAACAATTATCTAAATAAAGTAACGTAGTGCTATATGCCTGTAAAACTAACACTGGAGAAATGAAAGCATAGAACCTATCAGGCCAGCCAGGGATACAGAGACCTGTCTTTAAAAAAATAAAGGAAAATGCCCTACATTAGTGTCAGTGGCTACAACCTGTAATCCTAGCTACTCAGGAGGCTGAGACTTGGAACACTGTGGTTCAAAACCAGCCTGGACAGAAACATTCCAAAGCTCTATCTCCAAAGTAACCATCAAAAAGCTGAGTTGAGCCGGGTGCCTGTGGCTCATGCCTGTAATCCTAGCTACTCAGGAGACTGAGATCTGAGAATCTCGGTTCAAAGCCAGCCCAGGCAGGAACATCCATGAGACGCTATCTCCAACTAATCACTAGGAAACTGGAAGTGGCGCTGTGGCTCAAGTGGTAGAGTGCTTGCCTTGAACTGAAGAGTGCAGGGACAGTGTCCAGGACCCAGAGTTCAAGCCTCATGACCAACAAAAGAAAAAAGAAAAAAAAAGCTGAGTTGAAAGCATGACATAAGTGATAAAGTGACAGTTGATCAAGCAAACCAAGCAAGCATGAGGCCCTGAGTTCAAATCCCATTATAGTCCCCTGGAAAAGACAATGCCCAATCTTACACAACAGGAAACCTGAGAACAAAGTGGTTAACGTGCAAGACTTTGTGTTCTCTATTTTAACCCGATAAGCCTGAACAAGTTGTTTATAAGTCAGATGCTACTTTCCTCTTGTTCTTGATTTTGGTTCGGCAATGTCAGTCTCATCTCATACATTTGTGTTCATTTTTATTTGATCATTGATTTTTTTTCTAGATCACCATCTCTGGGTTTCTAATTCTATCTTGGTAGTTTCGTTTCAATTCAAAATTATGGATTATTTGATTTGGAATTCTTTTGGTTTTTGGCAGTACTGGGCCTCTTGTTTGCTAGGTAGGCACTCTAATACTAAGTCTCACCTCCAGCCCTTTTAACACTGTTTATTGTTGTTATTTTGCCAGTGCCAGGGCTTTAACTCAGGGCCTTGTACTTGCTCAGCTTTCTTGTTAACAGCTTTCTGCTAGCTAATTAACTGGAGATGGAATCTCAAAGACTTTTCAGTCTACATTAGCTTTGAACCTTGATCCTCCAGATTTCTACTTCCTGAGTAGCTTGGATTACAGGCACTGGTGTCTGGCTTGTACTGGATATTTTTTAATTAAAGCATCAAAAATATGTTTATATATGTAAATTTAATATAAATCATCAAAAGTAAATTCAATATAAATTATCAAAAAAATGTGTTCAACCACAGAAAATAACAACTTTGCTTCTATATATTTTTCTCTGTCTAGTGGATACTGTATTGATAATTCTACAATCACCAGGATTAATTCTCACTGTTGTATTGGGAATTCACACCAATCCACTGAGGACTATTTTGTCAGGCAGAGCCAGGTAGTCCTCCCAGGACTATTGCATTGATTGATTAGAGTTGGACATGGAGAGTCTGATTGTAGCTAGTACTCAATACACAATGATTTATTTCATATTTCTTTAGTAAAAATAAGCAAAACGTAATCAAAGAAGGGGAGACAGAAGGGGTTATGTCTCTTAAATTCCCATCTTCTCAATACATCTCATGTGCCCCCATACATTCCCCACCTTACTGTTATGACCCAGATAGATGTTCTTTCTCTAGCTGAAGGGTAGCCCTACTCTCTTTTCTCACAGAAAATATATTCCACTCTATGTGTCAATGGATTAAATACTGGAGGTTTACAAACAATCACACTGTACTTTAAATTTTTTTAAATTGTTATTATAAAAGTGACATACAGAGGGGTTACAGTTACTTATGTCAAGTAAAAAGTACCTTTCTTTTTGGACAATGTCATTCCTTTCATAACTCTCCCACTGTGCTGGTTATTCTTGATATATGGTCTTACTTCCTGCCCAGGTATACACCTGAGTTGTGATCCTCTTGTTTTAGGCTTCTCATCCTGAGATGACAGATGTGCACCACCATGACAATATTCTCTTTGTTGAGATAGAGTCTCATGGACTTTTCTATCTGGGCTCAACTGGAACTAAGATTCTCCCAATCTCAATCTCCAACATAGCATAGGATGACAGGTGAATACCACCACGGGCTGAGATACGGTTTTGCAAACTTTTCTGCTTGAGCTAACGTCAAATCACTATTCTCCAGATCTCAGCCTCCCAAATAACTAGGATTACAGATGTGAGCCACTGGTGCCTGACTTGATTTTGTATTCTTGTGAAGGAATGTACAGTAACTGATTATTGCTACCTAGTCAGAAATCAAAGGCAAGTTCTTAAACTTTTCACCACCAACAACATATGGTGATTTATACTAAGATTCTTAACTAGGAAAATTTACATATCAGTAGAGACAAAGAGTAAGGAAATAAACTAAATTATTTGTAAGAACAATATTAGATATTACTTTATAATTCATTATAGTCATAGTATGTTTGTAGAATTTTAAAAGTAGGAACTAAATTCCAATGTGAGGAGAAACAACCTAATTTCTGTTTTTTTATTGTGAAAATACTGTACAGAGGGGTTACAATTACATGGGCAAGGTAATGAGTGCATTTCTTTTTTGGGGGGGGGTCTGGTCATGGGCCTGAACTCTGGGACTGGGCGCTGTCCCTCAGCTCTTCAGCTCAAGGTTAGTGCTCTACCACTTGAGCCACAGCGCCACTTCTGGCTTTTATCTTTTTGCTTATGTGGTGCTGAGGGATCGAACCCAGGGCCTCATGCCTGCAAGGCAAGCGCTCTACCACTGAGCCACATTCCCAGCCCCATGAGTGTATTTCTTATCAAGCATTGTTGCCTCCTCCTTCATTTCCCCTTCCCATCCCTGCCCATCTCCCACCCCCTCGTGTCGCTCCCCCCCCACTCTAAAGTTGTAAAGTTTGTTTTTCAACATAACGACTTGTACATCTCATTGTTGCAATGGGTCCACCTGTATTCCTATTTAAACAATTTGTTTTTTCCCTTCCTCTCCACGAATTATACCAACATCAAATACAGTGAAAGCAGGGGTTATACTGTGGGAGAGGGACATACAAAGCAACAAAAAAATCTTATAAATGTGTTAGAAACAATTGCAAGAAAGAAAAAACATTTGAGTCCTTATCTTGGGGTTCATTTTGCTTAAAATCAACTTATCTGACCATTTCTGCTTGTCTCAGACATATACTAGTTATTGCAAATAAGAGAAATCATGGGACTTACGTTTCTTTGGGCCTGGCTTACTTCACTTAATACAATTTTTTCCAAGTCTTTCCATTTCCTAACAAATGGGGCAATGTCATGCTTTCTGATGGAGGCATAGAATTCCATTGTGTATATATACAACATTTTCTTGATCCATTCATCTGCTGAGGGGCATCTGCATTGGTTCCACATCTTAGCTATGGTAAATAATAGCACATGGTTGTGCTGGTAGCTTTAGTATGGTCTTGTTTGTGATTGTTTGCGTAAATGCCCAAAAGTGGGATTGTTGGGTCATAGGGGAGGTCTATGTGGAGTCTTTTGAGGAACCTCCATACTACTTTCCAAAGTGGTTGAACAAGTTTACACTCCCACCAACAATGAAAAATATGGAATGCTTCATAAATTTGCATGTCATCCTTGCACAGGGGCCATGCTAATCTTCTCTGTATCATTCCAATTTTAGTATATGTGCTGCCAAAGTGAGGACACAATCTAATTTCTGTAAGAGGTCAGGGCTCCAGGATCAAATATAATTGCATTATATGGGACTAAGAAAATTTGTAGATGAGATTAATAAATTATTGGTCTTTAAGAAATTATGGAAAGCTGGAGGAATATGAAAATCAAGGTTTGATGTTTTGATGTCTTAAAACAGGCAGTAGATTCCTAAACCTTGCTAAAAGTGTAGGACAACAGGCCTGGCATACCCTGAAAGTTTGTTAGTAATGCAGTCAGGCACCATCACTGACCTACTGAATCAGAAACTGCATCTTAACAAGATATTCAGTTGAACATCCTAACATTAAAATTTGAGAAGCACTAATATAAAGTAGTAAGAATGCTCTAGAAAAAGGCATAACAGGTTTACCTTGTTTTATATTTTGTATATTTACATAAATGAAAAAGTCAGATTAAATAGCTATTACTGAATCATTTCACAGAAATGACCCATAGTAACAGAGTATCAAAAGCCGTTTACCTGCTTTTCTAGAATCCAGAGCATACATGCTACCTTCCAACAATGCCATATATAATTTGAATCTCACAAATGTGTTACTTAGAATTGTCTGCTCTGTAAAAGGTGAAGCTTGATTGAAGGTGAACATTTTTAAAACATCACCTAAAAGGTAAGTTAGTTCCATCCATTTTGTGTATTCAAATTTTTATGTATTAATATTTATGTGTTCAAAAGTTAATTCTGCATCCAAGTGAGTATCACAAAACTAGGTCTGGACTACATTAGCTCAGTCTACTGCAAAAAAAATGCATTCACTCTGTTAACAGTAAAGTACTGCACACTTAGCTATTGTTGCTAAAAGCCAAACTTCTCTACATAAACTTCTCATAAAATGATCATTAAAAGCATTGTCCATCTTATAATGCAACTTTCTATGCCACCCACACATGTCAAAAGTATAATGTAAAGGAGCAAAGCAGATTGTAAAAAAAAAAAGCCAGTTTTAGATATGTAATCAAATTTTATTATTAACTGGATGATGGTAGAAGCATGTTACATGACACAAACAGATAAGAAAATATAAGCTATATTTTAAAATTGAAATCTTAAGATATAAATTACTTTTTTTGTTCTTCATGGGGCTTGAAATCATTTTGTTGGTCATGAACTCAGGGCCTGGGCACTGTCCCTGAACTCTTTTACTCAAGGCTAGTGCTCTATCACTTTAATCTAGAGCACACTTGCAGTTTTCTGGTGGTTAACTGGAGATAAGAGTCTCTCACAGGCTTTCCTGCCCCAGCTGGCTTTGAACCGTAATCCTTAGATCTCAGCCTCCTGAGTAGCTAGTATTACAGGTGTGAGCCACCAGAGCCCAGTTAAAAATATAAATTCTCAATTGTCAAAAATTGTGTGCCAGTCCTGGGGCATGAATTCAGGGATTGGGTGCTACCTTTGATTTTTTTTCCTCAAGGCTACTACTTGACCACACAGCTCTGATTTGGGCTTTTTGCTGTTTAACTAAAGAATCTCACAGAATTCCCTACCCAGGTTGGATTTGAACTGGTATCTTCAGGTGTCAGTCTTCTGAATAGCTAGGATTATAGGTGTGAGTCACCTGTGCCTGGATAATTTTCTAATTTTTTAAATGAATTATTCTGTTGATTTGTAACTAGCAACCTGAAAACTGTTCTTTTATATAAATATGTCAATATCATCATGGGCTTATGTAGGGCTCCTATACATAAATGCAAAATGTGGGTACTAGACAAAAGGGAACAAATGAGTGAATGGTTGAATGAATGGCAAATGGCTAAGAACATAATGTATTCTAATTCTGATGTTACAAAGTTGTCTAATGTGAATTCAATACCATGTTTACAATGTCATTCAAAATTTTCATATTAGTATTATTAACTTAAAAAGTGAATGCATGAAAAGGGAACAGTGAATGAAAACAATAAGATCATTCAATGTTGAAAAGGATGTGGGAAAAGGTGGAGAGGCAAGAAAGATGGAATGGTTGATGCTGATCAAGATGCACATACTAAATTGTAACCCATTTTTACAACCACTTGTAAATAAAAAAATTTAAAGAAAAGCAAACTAATGTTTTCCATTATAAGAATATTATAAATCAAAAATTCTTTTTAGGATTCCATTATTAAGACTATTCTTGTGAGTTTGTAGATTAGGTCATTACCATCTCTGGAAACCAATTTGAGCAAAGAAAAGCAAACCAGATTATTCCTTGTCAAATGAGTTTCCCAAAAAGTGACTTCTCTAAGAATAGGTGAATTTAATTTTACATCTGTATTACTGCCTATGAGCATATTTTCAGAGAGAAATTCAGAACATTTATATGAGCTGTCATATTCATCCAAAAGGTCAAGTTAGCGAAATGAGGCCGGGATTTTTCCCTTGGTTGACATGAATAAGGCAAATTCATTCAATAACTCAAAATTTATCTCTACTGCCTCTTGTAAATGTTATGCTGTAATATCCAAATAGCCCCTTCAAGGCCAAAGTGTTTATTCCTCACTTTCTCTTCATGAATTTGCTAGGCTGCAGAGAGCTACCAACTCAAGGTCCCTTTCCAAGGCAGCCACCAACCAACGACTGGCTAACAGTGGTTTGTAAGTAAGTCTCAGCTATCTTATCCTGATTGAGAACAGCACCAAGGGATTTTCCCATCACCAAAACTCCTTATGCTTAAGGCTGAGGCCTAGTGACTGTATTTTGACCCAATTTCTCCCATATGTCATGGACAGATATATGGGTTATTTTACATTTTGACAGCTATGAATGATGTGGCCATGATTATTGGCATATGGTACAAGTTTTGTATGACTACATGCTCAGGATGTTCTTGGAGGACTATGACTTAGAGGTGGTGTATTCTGCAAAGTTTCATGCCTTGAAGTCATGACAGTGTTGAGAGGATGCCTTGGGTTGGATTCTTAGGCCACGGTTGTGCTGCCCTTTCAAAGATATGCCTATGTCCTGGAAGGAGTTCTTATGAGAGTAAATGGGTAGGAAATCTTAAGCCTGACACCTCAGTCCCTCTCTGGGGACTGTACTAGGATGGAATTACTTACTCACGCATATGCTTGCATCATCGCCATTGGCTGAGGAAACACGCCTCAAGCAAGGTGATGCCACTGCCACGACCTTGACCCTTCAAATCTATAAGCTCAAGAAATCCCTTTTCTTCATAACTAGCCTACCACAAGCATTTCATTATAATGACAAAAACATTAACTAATTTACCGTTACATAATGACTCTATATTTAACTTAATGGGGAGCCTGCAGTGTATTAACGCCATTTTCCAAAGCAGATGCACTATTTTACATTCCCAGCAGCACTATATGAGCTTTACAATTTTTTCATCCTTATCAATACTTGCTATCACTTGGGTTTTTCTTTAGTATAGTCATCCTAGTGGATATGAAGTGGTTTCTCATTATGGTTTTGATTTGCATTTCCATGATGGCTAATTACAGTTGAATATCTTTGCAAGTGGTTATTTCACAGTGATTCCAATGGCACTGAAGTCTGAGAACATTGAAAGGTCTGTAAAATTCTCAAGGTCTCTTTTGACATTATTAATCTCAGAGAAATATATAGCTTTCAAAACCGTACCCACTCATTTCTTCTTGTTCAATATTATTCTGGCCTACAGCTTAACTTAGAGCAAGCAACTCCTGTTTTATAAAGTCATATTTTATTTATTTCATTTTATCTCCTTCAAACATAATATGAATTTCAAAATTGTTTACTATTGTATAAATTACTAAGGAAGCAGTACCACCTAAAGTGATCAGCACAATAATAAATATGCTCACAAAAGTATGTGTGTATACATACATATAACTAAGCAAATTAAGAAAGCCATGGAAAATGTAAGTCTTTAAGAGAAAAAAATCAATTTTTCTGTACCTTCCACAATCCATCAGCAGCTTAGCAATGCTAAGACAGAAGTCAATACTCATTTCACAACGTAGTACTTCTCTAACAGCTAATAAAAGAAAAAATAGAATAAAATTAACGTCTTCATTTTCATGAAGTTTTTTTCTTTTATTCAAAATTCCTTATTAAAGTTTTCCATACACCATACTTTGCCTAACAATTCATCAACATCTTTTCAAGTAGAAATATCCCAAAACTAGAAATAGAGTGGTATCACAGCCTCTTTACTATGGATGGCAAAGTAACTTACTGCAAAGCAATTGGTAAACATTATATGATAAGAACACTCGGGACAAAAGCTTGGGATCTGACTTCAATAAGCCATTTGTACCCATAAAGCATAGCCAAATCACTTCATTTTTCTGCACCTTAATATGTAATCTGCAATATAAGGAATATGCTACCAATGTCTTAGTGTTACTGAGAGGATTTTTTGCATGAGCCAGTGTAGGGATATAATATAGCAATGTACTTAGTAAACATTGTATAAATTATAGTTAGTGTTACTATTATTCCCTTTATTTCAGAAATTGAAAAATGGGAAACGGTTTACAAATAAAGACATTAAAAACAATGCTTATTATAACAATAGAGAAGATATAAAACCCTGTAGCAGCCTTAAACTATCATGCAATTACTAAAACTACTGAGTATAAAATAGCATGGAAAAAGAATATGCATTAATATAAAAATGACTAATAAGTGAATCATTGGAATATAACACTGTCAATAAACACACAGAATAGACTAAGCAAAAGTACTGAAAATGGATTTTCAAATTTTCCAGTTGAGTTTAGTGACTGTGTAAACAGTCAATAGTTATTCAGCAAATGTTTAATAAGTATATTTTCTGAGCTAGGAATTGTGTTTGCACTGGGAACTAACAGTGAACAAAATGCACACACACTCCAGTGTGTGAACTCAGGCTTGATGCACACATACTCCAGGCTTGAACTCATAGCTTGGATGCTATCCCTGAGCTATTTTGCTCAAGGTAGCACTCTACCGCATAAGCCACAGCTCCATTTTCAGCTTTTTGGTGATTAATTGAAGATAGAAGTCTCATGGACTTTCCTGCCAAAGCTAGCTTCAAACTATGATTTTCAGATCTCATCCTCCTGAATAGCTGGGATTACAGGCATAAGCCACCAGTGCCTAACTAACCATGGATGTTTTTAAATCTCCAAATTTTTCTTAGAGAATTTGTGATATTTTGTCATAATAAAAAGTGCATATTTTTAGATATTTTTCTACTATAAAATGCCAATATAATTTTAATGCCAGGAATTAGATAATTCATTCTACAAGTGAAGTTCTTCCCATTAGTAATGAAATGATAATGGTTTGTCTCGGGGGATGAGGTCAATGAGGAGAGATGAATGGAAAGAGAAAGGGTAGGCAAATACAGTCATAATATTCAGAAAACTTGAGGGATGAGTGGGATTTGAGATAGATGTTTACAGAAGAAGGATGAAAGGGGTAACACTGATCAAGATGCACTGTACACATAAGTTGACATGTTGAATTGAAACACCTTTGTGCAACTACTTAGATATTATTTTATTTCTTTGTTTTTTGGTATTAGTCGTGGGGCTTGCACTCAGGGATCCAGCACTGTCCCTGAGGTTTTTGCTCAAAGCTAGCACTCTACCACTTGAGCCACAACTCCATTTCTGGCTTTTAGGTGGTTAAATGGAGATAAGAGCCTCACAGACTTTGCTGCCCAGACTGGCTTTAAACTGTATTTCGGATCTCAGCCTCCTCAGTAGCTGAGATTACAGGTGTAAGACACCAGTGCCTGGCTCAAAGATTATTTTTAAAATAAATAAACTAGTGCTTGGGATGTAAATGCTTGGTAGAGCACTTGCCTAGCATTAGAATCCTGGATTCAATCCATCAAGAAAAATAAAGCAGACTACAAAAATGAAAAATTCATACATTTTCTCAATGTAATAAAATTTTAAGTCAATTTTATTATTTAAAAATATTTAAAATTTGGGTTGATGAAGGGTGGTCTGCTAATTTGTAACTTAACTTTTTACTCTAAGAGGAGTTTCTAGGTTAAGTGAAAGTAATCTTAAACAACAATCATTGTTGAACTCCACGTCTTAAATATATTTGGATAAAAAATGTAATGAAAAATTGTAGTTCAAAACTAATCAACTTCAAATTTGATGACTCCAATAATCTACCCAGTTTTCTATATTGTATTAAAATGAATAAGCCTATTCATTCAATAGGTGAATTGGCTTGTTTATTCCTCTAAAGCAAAACAGTGGAATTGTCTCCTTAATTCATAACATTTTCCACCTGTGTATGCAAGATGGTACTGTCATCCAGTTATGCAGGATCTACATTTGAGTTTCTAAGGTCTCAAGTATTTAAAATTCCAAAGCTCACAGAAATATTTATCAATACTAAATTAGCATTAAAATTCAGAGCTACTTCTAAATTTATTGTCCTAATTATTAAAAGTGATTATTCATTGAATAATCCATAATCATACTAACAATTATATATGTAAATAATTCAGTTCTTAAAGACTGATAATATACTAAAACGTGTACATTAAGAGAATTTAAAGAAAATTATATGAATAAACAAAACTGAAATATTGTTATAAGCCAGTGTGCACGGACATATCTTGCTTCTTTTACTGTAGCTACAAAGTAGTAATTGTAGTAGTAATAAAAAATATATAAGATACATTGCACAGTTGCAACACAACATATATATAATTATTATTATTACTACTACTACTATTATTAAACCTCATATATTTATTTATTCATTTATGTATTTTGCCAGTACTGGGGCTTGAATTCTGGGTGCTGTCCCCGAGTCTCTTTGTATGCAATGCTAGTGCTCTACCAGAGCCACAGCACCATTTCTTGCTTTTTCTGAGTAGTTTATTGGAGATAAGAGTTTTATGGATTTTCCTGCTGGGAGTGGCTTCGAACTGCCATCTCAGCCTCCAGAGTGGCTAGGATTATAGGTGTGAGCCACCAGAGCCCATCTCTTTTTAAGATGAAAAATCTGAAGCACAGAAAAATTAAGTGCCTTGTCAGCACACACCCATATATCAGAATATTCTTTTGTGCTATGTACCCTTAAGAATTATGAAAAGCAGGAAATAATATTCTATAAGTAATTATAAACATTATATTATTAGACAAGCTCTCTCCATTAATAGGTACTCTTTTTCCTTTGGCAACTGTGAAGCCTGGGAGATCTCAGCCTGGCTGTGGACACAGATCTCATTATTCTCTTCACTCAGCACTTTTTTAGTATCAATCCCCACTTTCAAGCTCCTCAATAAAATACTCCCTCACTGCTACCAGAAAAGGTGATTTTTCTTCAGGGATGTTAAGACTTCAGAATGCTTGGATAGCTGAAATTCTCCACTAGACTAAAAGAAAACTGATTGCTTTCATTCAGTCTTTTTAAACCATCTTTTCAATTTGCTGCTGTTCTTTTTTCTCTTCCTTCCTAGTTGATAATCCCTTTCATACGTGATCAGTTTCCTTCTCAGCCACTACTAAATTATACCTATTGTGAGTATACTACAAAAGATCTTATCTTTAACTAATTGGTGGTGATATTTCAAAATGTTTGCGAATCACACACACACACACACACACACACACACACAGATGGTACCTTCAAGGATATCGACATTAGCTGCTTCAGCTTTCAATAGGATTTTCATCTTTAAGAAAAGCCCATCTGGATGTAAAAATTCCTATTTTAAATAAAGAAATCACAATATTATAACTCTGGAATTTAAAAGACAATTTTCAAGTACAGTAATTGTTTTATTCAACCACTGCATGATAACTCAAGATCAAAGAAAATCAGAATTATAAAAGACCACATACCAACATTTGGCTTATCCCTAAGCTTATTTTCTTGAATCTAAACAAAATAATACTAGGAAAAGTCTAATAAGACACTTCCATGAAAAGAAGGGGTAACAACAACCAACAAATAATGTACTCATTGCCTTACTCATGTAACTGTAACCCCTCTATATATCATCTTTACACTAAAATAAAAAAGATATTAAAAAAGAAAACACTTTTATGGAGTGACAAACATTTAATGGCAAGGTCAATATCTTTACTGTGTGACTATCAGCCATATTCTCAGTAAGTAAAAACTCTTGAGATTTTAATAAGTCCTTTGTAAACAATGGTAGAATAAAATTAAAAATGTATTTTTTACAGGATATGCATGTCATGTCTGCTGTTACTAACAATATGCTCTAAATAATGTTTCCAAGTTATTAGCCAGCCCTAAGACAACAGGCTGGCTCTAAGTTTTGCTTCACTGGTTACATCTTTAAACAACTGGTTAAAATTAAAAGTGCACATGGCTGGGGAGGGGAGGGCAAAACTGGGAGAGTGAGGGAAGGAGTGACATCGTCCAAATAGAAATGTACTCATTATCTGAGTTTTGTAATTGTAACCCCTATGCATATCACCTCTATAACAACAATTTAAAATTATAAAATAAAAACACAAATTAATTAAAAGTGCAGGTACTAGTGGCTTATGCCTGTAATCTGAGCTACTCAGGAGGCTGAGATCTGAGGAGCATGGTTCGAAGTCAACGTGGGCAGGAAAGTCGGTGAGACTCTTCAATTAACCATAAAAAAATCTGGAAGTGGGGCTGGGAAGGTGGCTCAGTGGTAGAGCGCTTGTCTTGCATGCCTGAGGCCCTGGGTTCGATTCCTCAGCACCACATAAGCAAAAAGAAAAAAGCCGGAAGTGGCGCTGTGGCTCAAGTGGTACAGCGCTAGCCTTGAGCTGAAGAGCTGAGGGACAGCGCCCAGGCCCAGAGTTCAGGCCCCACGACTGGACACCTCCCCCCCCCAAAAAAAAAGCTGGAAGTGGAGCTGTTGCTCAAGTGATAGAGTGCTAACCTTGAGCAAAAAAGCTCAGGGACAGCTCCCAGGCCCCTGAGTTCAAGATATAGGACTTGAACAACAACCAAAAAAGATATTGTTTGAGTCAGTTCTCATGGCTCACACCTGTAATCCCAAGTACTCAGGGGGCTGAGATCTGAGGAGCTTAATTTGAAGCCAACCCAGGCAGGCAAGTGCTTGAGGCTTATGTTCAATTAACCACCAAAAAGCTGTGTAGCTGTAGCTCAAGTAGTAGAGGGCCAGCCTTGAGCAAGAAATCTAAAAATTGCTCTCAAAATTCAATGGAGTTCAAAGGTTTGTTTTTAGTCCTTGTGAGCTGCTGTAACAAAATACCATAATTGGGTGGCACATACACAACAAAATTTACTTCTCATACTTCTGAAGGCTGAGAACTCCAATATTAAGGTACCAGCCGACTGAACATCTGGTAAGAGCCTTCTTCCTCAAAAACTCTACTTTCTCCTATCTTAAGTCCTCGCATGGGAAAAGAGATAATCAAGCTCCCTTTTGGGCCTCTTTTATAATGGCACAATGCCATCATAGAGAAGTTCACTATAACATCATTACCTCCAAGTCCCAACATAATACTGTAATCTTTAAAGTTATGATTTGGACATATGAATTTTAAGAGGACACAGACATTTAGATTACAACAATATTTTATCTTGCCTTTCTGGTACACAGAACAGATGGTAACAATCCATTTTTAGGAGGAATACTGAAGCAAATGACTAAACTGGATTTTAAAAGGTGAATCAAAGCTTTTAAAAAAGTATTAATATTCAAAAGTAAAAATTGCTTATACCTTGTTTGCTAGATTAATAGCAATGATGCCCTTAGTATAACATTCTCCAGTATGGCAATCAAAATAAACAGTGGCTAGGGACCGCAGAACTTTAGCCTATAATTTTTAAAAAAGGAAATAAAAACATTTAGCTGAAACATAAGCTACAACTCAATAGTTGACTAGCATTTACACAGTGATGGGCATCTTTCCAAACAACCATCTTTTCCATCCACATCTTTAAAAACCCACATAGTTTTAAGATATATCTCATGATTATGATATTTCCAACATCAAATGCCTACTTTTGCCATTTACAGTTATGGAATAATACAGTTATGTGTTTTATTATTTTATATCTTGATTTTTTTGCTGTTGTATTTCTGTGTGTGTGTGTGTGTGTGTGTGTGTTTCTGTGTGTATTTGAGATGGGACCTTGTTCCCTTCAAAGATATGGATTTGAACTCCTAGGCTCATACAATCAATCCTCCTGCCTCAGACTCTAAGTGGCTGGGTTAACAAGCACATGATATTGTGCCTAACATGTGTCTAGCTTTCTTTGTTAAATATTATATGTGAAAACATCCCATTATAATCATTACAGTTCACTCAGTCTCATGGTTATATAATATTAGGTTAAGCGACAATGTCACTAAATATGATATATTAGCATATTCAATATTTATTGCAGTGCTAAGGATCAAACTCAAGGCCTCATGAACTTTAAGCAAGCACTATAACACTGAGCTACATACACAGCCTTATAAATTTTTAATTGTGATAATATAAACATAATTTTGACTATCTTAGCCATTTTAGGTATACAGTTCAGCAGTATTACATATTTTTACAGAGTTGTGCAACCACCACCACTATCCATCTCTGAAATTCTTCATCATTCAAAATTGAAACTGGACTTATTAAACAATGTTCCCTACCGTTTGTACGTCCTAGTCTCTAAATTTCACTACACTGGGTACTTCATATAGTAGAACCATGTGGTATGTTTTTTTTTTATGAAGGGTTTATTTCACTTAATGTAATGCTATCATAGTTTATCCATGTTGAAATGAATCAGAATAGCTTTCTTTTTTGGGGGGGGGTCCGGTCGTGGGGCCTGAACTTAGGCCCTGGGCGCTGTCCCTCAGCTCTTCAGCTCAAGGCTAGCGCTCTACCACTTGAGCCACAGTGCCACTTCCAGCTTTTTTCTTTTTGCTTATGTGGTGCTGAGGAATCGAACCCAGGGCCTCGAGCATGCAAGGCAAGTGCTCTACCACTGAGCCACCTTCCCAGTCCAATAGCTTTCATTTTTAAGCCTGAATATTTCATTACATTCACTTGCATTATTTTTATCTTTCAAACATAAGGGTAGAAGCTATATTTCACATTTTTCTTTTTCCCATTTTCACAGTACTAGATATATAATGTAGATGTTCAGTTACATTTTGATTGGCATATCATAATGGTACAAAGATATATTCAAAATTTTCCATTTTGCTATGGCATGTAGTAATTTTGTTAGATTTGCTTACATAATCACATTTTATTTATTAAATATTTAAAGTAGCATTCATACCCAGGCATGTTCTATTTAGGTGGTTGGCAGGAAAACCTCAAACAATTAAACATGTAATAATAAAAGAAAACCTAAAACCCAAACATTTTCCAAAATATTATATGTATATAAACATATATGTACTCATGAGTACATTTTGAACCTATGAGTTATATTATATTATTATGTAAATTTTCTGCAAACTAATTCATTCAGATATTAAATGATGTGCCCAATGAATAATCTAATCACAAATGGGACGTTAGAATATTATGACTTTATAAATATTATAAACTATATTTTTTCAACCTAATCCAATATTTAATAGGATCCTTACCAGCATATCTGGTCCAATAGAACTTTTATCCATCTTCCCAATATCATAGCTTTGGCTATAATTAAAAAGGGAAAAAAGTATGTATAAATACATACTCATTTCAAGGTATATATAATTTTTCAAGATTATATATTACAAAGAAGGCCAAGCACAATCATACTTTATTTCAATTTTCTATGCATTAAACAAATTATTAGCCAACTGAGATATGAAAATCAATTTTATAAAGCAAAATATTCTAACTATAGAAAAACCAAAATTTCCTTAGGAGATACCTAATAATTGACATTGTAATTACATTAATGCTTATTTCTACTTGGATATCTGTGCATGTGTGTATGTATTTTGTTTACTAAAATAGTTTAAATACACACACACAAGCTTTTATTTAATGGATGTATAATTGGAGCAGTACTGGAGATTGAATGAAGACATTGCACCACTTGGGCTATGCCGCGAGCTCTATTTAATGAACACATCTTCAATGTATAAGAAATATAAATATATAAATATATTTTAAAATAAATAAGTACAGCTACAGCTGTTTTCACCAAAACAAATATATTAACAATATTCAGTAGTTCCCTTTTGTACCTGAATTACCTGATTTTAACCAACAAAGTAGGAGTGATTTCTTTCTCTTTTATTTCCCCGAGACTAGGACTCAAACTCAGTGTCTGATGCTTGCTTTTACTCATTTTTGCCTGGTGCTCTACAATGTGATTCATGCCTCCAATCCCAACTGATTTTTAATATATCTTAGATTAATATTTAAAATTAGAAAGCATGAGGAGTAAGTAAAATTGACTTTTAGTTTGCTGCATTAGTTACCAAATCATGTTGTCTATGGGTAAATCTAATAACCACAAATAATATGCTAATATAAGTCTCAGAGTTTCAAAATCTAAAACTGAAAAAGCAAAACAAGTTTGGTACTCCATGGGAGTATGTCAATGAAATTTGGTGAATTGAACTAAACTGAAGATAATACTTTAAAATACAAAATCTCTTTAAAAATAAGCTGAAACTACATAGTGAAATCTAGGCCAACCTGGGCTACATAATGAGACCCTATCAAAAGCAAACAAAACACAAAAACTGCAGAGTTAGAGCTGAGAAAAGTGAATTTTCAGCATCTTAACAAGGACATAATGCTGGCCTAATCACTGTAAGACCTTTTTCATAGGGGTCTGATTTAGAACACTGAACTGTCTATCAATAAGCAGTATGAGAAACTTTCAAGACACTTCCTAGTGAAAGAACCATTCTATGGAAAATTAAACATTAAAACAAAAAACAAGCATTTAAAGTCTTCAGAAATTATCCCAAGGGAAGATAAAAATAGGCAAATACATATTAATGAAAGTTGGCTAATTCTCAGCATGAACAGCAATGCTCAGGTTAAAGTACTTGACCTATGAACTGCTTCCATCCATCCTGATGGAAGCTGTAACAGACAGTTGTAGTCAAGAAGATGGACTTTTCTTCTTTCTCCAGTGACTAGAATCCAGGCTGTTTTGTATTTGAAATGGTAGATTGTCAGCTTTCCTTACCATTTTCAGCCAGCGTTGAAATGCTACTTGGTTGGAGCAAGCAAACTTGAGAGGTCTTGGCTTCCTTTGCCTACTACTCAGCTTAACAACTACAACAGCTATGACAGATTAAGAATACTGGGGCCCTGCTCACCTTTACCCTATCTATTCCATCAGGAAAACCTTCCAGTTCAAGAAGGTACCTTGAGAAACGGGCTAACATTCTTCTAGCATCCACTCATTCAGCAGGGATGACATTCCAGGAGAAACAGACCATACTCTTGCTTCTAGCTGTAATCATATGGCACAGAGGTTTTGGGGGTGGGGAAGGTAAAAAGGAAGATGTCTGCATTTCTTCCTGAGGGGTCTGATTTTACATTTTACATGTACAGAGAAAGGAGGAATTTATGCCTAAGGGTATTGTTCTCTCTCTCTCTCTCTCTCTCTCTCTGTGTGTGTGTGTGTGTGTGTGTGTGTCTGTGTGTGTACAATATGTTATATATAACATCACACCCTGTTTCTTGACTTTAGAGGAAATTATTTTAGTTTGTTCCCATTTAGTATGACATTCACTCTAGATTTGTATACTGTAGCCTTTATTATGTTGAGGTTCATTCCTTCTATTCCTATTTTCTTTAGAGTTTTATTGGAAAATGTTGAATTTTGTCAATGGCTTTCTCTGCTTCAATCGAGATAATATGGTTTTTGTCTTTGATTCTGTTTATGTGCTTTATTATACTCTTTGATTAATATAGGTTGAACCAACCTTGCATACCTGACATAAAACTTGATCATGAAATGTGAACTTTTATTGTGCTACTGAACTCTTGTTTATAAGAATTTTACTAAGAGTTTTTATAGACCATCAGAAAGATGGTCTATAATTCTTTTTGTTTTACTTTTGTCCAGTTTTGGAATGAGTATAATACAGACTTTATAGAATTATTTTGGTAGTATTCCTTCTCTTTCTATGGAAAATTTTTTTTGGGGGGGTCCAGTTGTGGGGCCTGAACTCTGGGCCTGGGTGCTGTCCCTCAGTTCTTTAGCTCAAGGCTAGCGCTCTACCACTTGAGCCACAGCGCCACTTCCTGCTTTTTTTTTTCTTTTTGCTTATGTGGTGCTGGGGAATCGAACCCAGGGCCTCAGGCATACAAGGCAAGCGCTCTACCACTGAGCCACCTTCCCAGCCCTCTATGGAAAATTTTGGGCAGTGAATCCATCAAGTCTAGGATTTTCGTTTTTGGAGGAATCTTTATTACTGCTTCAATTTTATTACTTGTTATAGATCTATTTAAGTGATTTATATCTCTTGATTCAACTTTGGTAGATCAAATGCATCTAGACATTTATCTATTTCAACCACCTTTTCCAGTTTATTTGCATGTAGGTTTTTCAAAGTGTTCCAGTAAGATCTTCTGACTTTAATTTGTAAATGTTGTGATATCCCTATTTTTGTCTCTAATTTTAGTTATTTTTATATTTTTATCATATCCATTCTCCTTTTAGTCAGATTGGCTAATGATTAATCAACATTATCATTCTGGAGAACCAATTTTTGTTTGTTTGTTTCTTTCTTTCTTTCTTTGGTTGGTTGTGGGACTTGAACTCAGGGCTTGGGCACTGTTCCTGAGCCTCTTTGTGCTAAAGGCTAGCGCTCTACCCCTTGAGCCACAGCTCCACCTTAAGTTTTTGAGTGGTCAATTGGAGATAAGAGTCTCCTGGGGTCTTTTCTGCTCAGGCTGGCTTCGAACTGCATTCCTCAGATCTCAGCCTCTTTAATGGCTAGGATTACAGATGTGAGTCACTAGTGCCTGGCTTCATTCTTTTTCTAGTTCATAAATCCATGAACTAGGGATTATTTCTTTCCATTTGCTAGTTTGGTGTTTGGCTCGTTATTGTTTGTCTAGGCACTTGAAAAGCATTATTAGGCTATTTATTTGATATTTCTATTTTGTTCTGTTTCTGTTTTTAATGTAGGCATTTATATATATATATATATATATATATATATATATATATATATACTGTCCTCTTAACATTGTATTTGCTGTTTCCCAGAGGTTCTGGTAGGTTGTGTTTTCATTCTCACTGGTTTCTACTTTTGGATTTCTCCCTTATTTCATCAAGGACTCACTTACCATTAAATGTGTTGCTCAAACTATGTTGTTTAATTTCTATGTGTTTGAATATCTTCTGTTGTTTCTTTTGCTGCACAGCACTACTTTTACTCTGCTGTGGTTTGATAAAATTTAAAGAATCATTTCAATTTTGTTATATTTGCTAAAATTTGCTTTATGCCCAAAAATATCATCTAATCTGGAGAAAGTTCCATGGATTGCTGAGAATGTGTATTTTATAGATTCTGGATGAATACTCTGTAGATGTCTGTCATGTCCATTAGTCTAGGTGTCATTTAATTCTGATATTTGTTGATTTTTTCCCCCTGCATAAACTGTTTATGCTGAGAGTCAGGTATTGAAGTCTCTTTCTATCACTGTATTGGGGGAGGGGGTCTATCTGTGTTTTAAGTCCAATAGTGTTTGTTTAATAAAGTTGGGTAAACTTATATTTGGTACATAAATGGTAAGACTTGTTATGTCCTCTTCATGGATTGCTCCCTTTATTAAAACAAAGAGAGCTTATTCTTCTCCTCTGACTAAATTTGAAGCTTACTAATTAGACATGAGTATAGAGGCTCCTGCATACTTTCAGGGATCATTTGCTTAGAAGATCTTTTTCCAACCTTTCATCCTAAACCAATATTTATTTTTCTTGGTAAGATGTGTTTCATTAATTTAAAAATTATCCATTTAAGACAAAAAGGATGTAGTACAGAAATAAAACTAAAAAGGACTCGTGAGACATACAGATAAAAAAAAGTAATTATGTCAAATAAACCTAAGATAATAACATTAAGTATAAATGGGTTAAACAATATAATCAAATGGCAGATTTTTGGACTAGTTTTTAAAAACAAGACCCAATCACATGCTGTCTATAAAATACAGAATAGATTCAAAAATACAAAAAATTAAAATGTGAAGGGATAAAATAAAAGATGTCATGTAAATAACAATTGTTAGAGAGCTAGAGGAGCTATGCTAGTATCAACAAAATGGATGTCAAGACAAAAATTGTCTTCAGAGATAGACATGCTATTTTATGATAAACAATCCTTTCAGAAAATTACATATGCCCCCAAAATATTGGTGGAAATAGGACAAAATTGAAAGAAGAGATATAATTCCACAATAATAGTTGGGGTTTTCAATACCCCTCTTCAACAAGTGAGAGAGCAACTAACTAGAATATCAAAAAGTATGAACCCCAAGATAAGTATTCAATTTTTTTCTTTCATGCGATTGTTTCTAACATATTTATAAGATGATTTCTTTGCTGCTTTGTATGTCCATCACCCACGGTATAACCCCTGCTTTCACTGTATTTGATGTTGGTATAATTTGTGGAGGGGAAGGGAAAAAACAAATTGTTTAAATAGGGATGCAGGTGGACCCATTGCAAC